GAGTTGAAAAAAAAGAGTGTGTTTCCAAGGACAGCAGTAACTTCTGAATGACATGGAAAAAGAATCAGCGTTGTGTTCTGTTGTTATTATTCCCTCAGAGAGATCAAATTAAAAGACACTGCCAACAGTGTAGAAGAATTCAAACCTCTGATGGACAGAACACTTTTAGGTTTTACACAACATGTAGCAGCGCGTAGAGAAGAGTAGGACCTCAGAACTTTGGCTGCATAGACTGGGGATTACCAGATTAGACCATGTAGTTAATATATGAGCAAGATTAGCTGTAATTCAAGTAGGACCATATGTATATCTGAGATCTGCCAAGGATTGTGTTGAGTGACATCAGATAACAAGTCGTGCAAAGACGAGTGTGTAAGATATACACTGTTTGCAGCCAAGGTGTTCATTTTCCTTAAAAGCATGTCTAAGTACAGGGTTTCACACTCACACTCCAGTTTTGACATTTTTCAGTGAAGGCACAATTCTACACTGCTGACAAAACATGACAATTTCACAGAACAGAGAGGCGCTGTACAAACATTCAGGGTCCTGTTAGGTAAATCTCCTGCATGGTTCAAGTTCAGATCAATCCTCTGACAATTTAACCTCCTGTCTTGTCACTTCATCCTCTGTTTCCTCATGCTTAAAACATTTTACTGTGTAAAAATAAAAGAAACACAAACTGCACAGTGTACAGGTAAATATGTTTAGGAGACTACAACAGATGTACACTGGATTGTCTACAACACCTATGTCAAACTCATGGCCCGCGGGCTAAATTCAGCCCACCACCTGATTTTATGAGGTTTAAAAAAACAACCCAATGTCATACTGTTGCATCAGACAAAGAGTTTGAATCTCTTTAAAGAAGCTTGAGGAAACGGGCAGCGCCAAGGACAACAGACACAGTGGTCAGACCACGACATTTCGTGAGAGGCAGAATAAAAACAGAGTGTATCTCCTATTCCAAACTTCTAGACAAAAAGTCTGCAATATCATCAGTTCAGAAACAGCAGATACCAATGGGACAATCGACCACTGACTGTCCAGATACCGTCCTCTGGTCTTAGTGGAAGACTTGTGGCTGAACAGCAAAACTTCAGACACATGATACAAAGCCAAGCAGTGCAACAGAAAAACACAGGAACAGATTGAAAATAGTTGGCAGTAGTTCAAGTTATTTAGTTAAAAAAGATTGTGTCCAATGTTCACAAGAACATACAGCAGTGTATCCGCTATAAAAGGGAGGTTCTGTGTAGTTCAAGCCAACAATCATGTCCAACTGATCAGATTCCTTTTCTCTGACAGAGTTAAAATAATAAGTGGCTTTAATAATAGGGTACACGGAGCAAAGAATTAAAAGAGGAGAAAATATTAATGCAACCGTCTCCGTGTATTATCCATCAGTACGTGCAGTACTGCATTGTCTGTATTATATTGTAGTCCTTTCTTCTGGTCATAATCCCACATGCTAAATTTCCTGAGAGCCTAATGAGAAAGAATGAAAGAAAAGCAGAGCATGAAAATGGCTACAAGGTTTCGTCTCTTCCTCATTCTCCTCAGTCTATAACGCTGAATGGTTTTATGGTTTTTATTAACTTTATTTAATTATCTCACAAGCTTTTTTTATATCAGGCCATCTCTGCCCGTGTTCCCACTCCCACTGTGTGAGCCTGGTAATTTAATAAAGCTTCATTTAAGATAGGAGTTGATTAAAAAAATTAAGCTTCAGTGATCACCACAGCGTATGCCCTCCCCGCTCTGTCAAAAGATCCAGTATTTCATATTATGAGCGTGTCGACAGAAATTATCACCGCAGGACAAGTTCCCAAACCCCCACAGTGAAGAATGTCCCACTAAAATAAGGATAATGACAGGAGATGAATTTTACATCTTTACTGCAGGTCAACCCCTTTTTTTCCTCTTTTCTCCTTGTCCCCGTTGCGCGTCCAGGATCCAAACGTTAATTTTGTCATTCATAATTCATATTTTCCTGTGCCGTCTGAGGGCAGGTGACAGCCAGGACGGCTCTGATCCTGCTATGAAGGAACATTTCTGCTGTTTCTACCTTTTAAAGAGCGAATGACGACACTGGGCTGCAACACTGGTCGGAGCAGGAATCCTGGCCTGCTGCCCTCTGCTTGGTTCTGCTGCAGAAAATTGCACCAACAGTATAATTGCTCAAACTCATGGAGACACTTTGAAATGCAATATCTCCAATTCATCCCATCTGGGCAGAAGAAGGTACAGATACACACAAAAAGAAAAACTCCCTGGTATTCAAGGGGAGGGTAAAAACTATGATAAATGCTTAATTTAGACTCCAGCTTAAAGTCAAATACCCTCTTCCAGCTGGAGAAACATAATCCACACAATTAATGCTGGAAAATTATAGCCTGGACCTCAAGGTAGTTTTGAGCCATAAGTTATTGATTTGAAAATGAAAACCTGTACTCTTCAAGGTTAAACCCAGTCCAGCCTCATTACTGCTCTGTCCTTGAGAGGCCTGCACCAGGGCTTTAATGAAGGTGAATTTAATGGGATTTAATGTATCTGGGGGCAATGGAGCAGCAGAGATATGGTTTTAACAAAGAGCTAGGGACTAAGGGTACAGCCATGAAGAGAGCAGCCATTTTCCTTTATTCTTATTTATTTCACATTTGGCCGAGCAGAGTTGAAGCACACCACATTTTCGTCTGACTCAGCCCCAGGAGTCAGTGATTACATTTCTGTAGTCAGGATAATACAGGCCTTTAACTTTCCATCTTGGCATTCACACAAATATTGAATATCACAGCGGCTTTGTAACAGAGCGGAATAATCAGATGGGATGTTGGAATCACACTGTTAAACAGTAATCCATCCAAACGAGGCTATTTTTGCTTTTTAAACAACACCGGACTATTAGTAAATATATATAAATATATATAATGATCACTTTTCTTTCTTTGTTTGCAGTCCCAAATGGAAAATGTTTTATGTTGCTTTTAGCATTACAACAATTATGGTGAAGGGTTTTAATTCTACAGGGAGACACAAAAAAGCACTAACAATATTGACTAAAGATAATAGGATTCCGGATAATGTGATGATGTGGGCAGTGTTGCCCATTCACAACCAGCAGCGTCTTTAGGAAGCCCAGCAGGGATAGGGATGCTTATTTTTACCATTGCTCCACACAACATACAAAGGTCTCTTCTCTCTCCTCCTACTGTGCAAAGGCAATTGCAACAGATCATTTCTACCCTCTTCAGTAATATGTGTGTGAGTGTGTGTGTATACACGTGCCTCTGGCCAACACCGAGCTTTAGAACAAGTTCTGTTGCCACATTAAAAAAAAAAAACAACTTAGTTGTATTATTAATTATGTGAAGCTCTCACAAACAATCAAAGCCATTTGCTTCATGCAGCTTGGCCCTGCTGCTGTGAGGTCATGATCACATGACTGAGCCTGCAGCTGTTAAGGTGGTGCGAACAATGTGTTTCTAGTAATGCCAACAACATTACTGTAAATGCCCCCAATCTGATATCCCACCCCGATAGATAGATAGATAGATAGATAGATAGATAGATAGATAGACAGATGGATAGATGGATAGATGGATAGATAGATAGATAGATAGTTTTTTTTTTCTTTTTCTCAAACAAAATAAAACAGACAAAAAATAAACAGTTGACAACCAAAAACTGAAACAGTGGCAGCAACAGTAAGCCAATGGTCAACAATAATGCATTGAACCTTGTCTATTAAAAACTATTAGTGAAGACATGACTAGGGTAAAAGAAACAATTATCACCTACTACCATATGACAATGAGAACAAACAAACTTTAATATAAAATGTAAAAATTCTTGGTGGGAGAAGATTTTTTAATAATAATTGTCAAACAATTACTTTTTCCTAGCAATCATTTACAACTGTAATAAATATATCCCTGACCAACAACAAACAACAACTCCTGATCATGTTTGACCTCTAATTTGACATGGTTTCCAACTCCATCCATCAGTTATATCCTCTGGCACAATGTTTCCCACAATATTTTTAGACAGCATATATTGTACATTAGGGAAAAAAATCTCAAATATGATCTTTAAGTTATAACTCAGCCACAACTTAATCAGTGTGAAACCTGGGTTTGTTTAGTTGAACACAAGATTGATGTACTCACAGGAATAGAAGAGAGATGCACAATAAGATCTAGTTCAACAGCTCTGAGACTGCTCATTTAAAAAAAACAAAAAAACGTTTTTATAGCCCTTTGCTGTCATCTAGTGGAGGAGCATTTAAAAGTTTTACCTCTCACTGTCCCAAAGACCAACTGCAATAAATTAAGTGTAAATGTTCAATTTTCCAGAATGCACCTGATGATTCAGAGTTCAGAGTTTTGGGGGGGTTTTTCTTCCAACTCCAGGTTTCAAACTACAGTAAGTGTGTTGAGTAAAAAAATATAGTTTTATGTTTTTAGAACAGCAATAAAATGTTTCTGCTACTTTTTAATGTATTTCTTTACATAATGCAAATGTTTGTGCTCACCTCTGCTTCACACTCCACGTGGACTCCACGTGGTCTCCACGGATTGGGATGCAGAAACTGCCAAAGAGAATGCAATACGTCTGAACTCCTAATATGGGCAACTTCCTGTGGGAATGTGCCATGTGTAGAACGGACAGAAGGGCAGGGTTTGTAGTGACTTCTTTTAATATGAGTGTTGAATGTCGTTGAAAAAAAATAATTTTACAAGGAAATGCTGTTTAATGTCTAATGATAAAGAGCTAATTAGCATTAGAATTAGTGTCACGTGATGGTTGGGGTAAGGATTAAGATTAGGCATACATTTGTATTGACTGAGGTGAGGGTGAGGGGTTAGAGAATGCACCTGTAGTCCAGGTTTAGTCCTCACAACTCTGGAGAACCAGACTGTGTGTGTGTGTGTGTGTTTCTGTTCTGTCAACTCTTCAGATTAAACTTGTCCAAAGTCTGCTTCTGGACTTTGGAGTTAACAACATCAATCCTTCATCGCTGTCGTGACAATGTAGTTGCGGAGCGGCAAAGACAAAGCTCACCTCACCCATGAGAGACACATGTGTCCATCTGGAAAAGACACTGGAACAAACAGATTGTAGGGGCAAGTTACTCTCTCTCTCTCTCTCTCTCTCTCTCTCCCCCCGACCCCCCATATGCCTCCCAGACCTGGTGCTGGTGTCTGTGACAGGCCCTCTCCTGGTGAACTAGTCTCCATGATGAATGACCACCTTTCCCATCTTTATCGCCCCACTAAATCATGTGCTTACTGTGCTTTTATGACCAATTTTTGCTGCTTTGTTTTACTTTACCCCTTTTTTTTTTTTGAATGAAACTCCAGTGCCTGGTCTATTCTTCCTCTCCCTGCTCCTCTTTTCCACCACACATGGTATCAGTCTTCCGGGTTTCTATAACAGTGATTGTACTGAGGTGGAGAGTTGAAATGCAGCCACATTAATCAAATCTCCTGAAATAAATTTGTGAGTCGTCGTTTCACACAGAAGAGATGCTGCAGTGGAAAACGCTCTCATCTGCAGAGCAAATATTGCCAGGATAGTTCATTCCATTCATTTACTGCTTTCTAACCTCTGTTTTTATGCAGCACATTCTATGGCCATGGAGCAAGCTGCCAAATAGACAGGAAATATGTTTTTCTCTGGAAACACATAAATAATGGATGTGACTGAGCATCACACATGGAGTAGGTCAGAATCCAGAGAGTGACAGGCGTACAGTATGTCAGGGCAGGGGAAAGGGCCTGAGAGGAGACCTTTTTTACACTGATGCCATCATAAATTATCACATAATAGACCTCCATGTGTTTGTGAATGTCATGGTCCATATTTTCTCTTGTTTATATTTACTTTATGTCACAACGGTTTAATGCAGTGAGTGGAGATGATTGATAATCGTAAGTCAACCTTCAAAGACTGGGCTTGATGGGTAAAAAAATGAGGTTGGATTAAATATGAGTCAGCTACGTTTCCCCAGGTAATCCAAATAAGTATTCTACAAATACAACATTACTTGGGTGTTATCATTAAAACACAGCCGTTTGTCTACTGTTGTCCAATATAAAAAATAATAATACAAGTCCAACATGGCACTGTAGAAAAACCTAGGATTGATTTAAATAAAGAAATGTTGATTCACAAGATATTGGAAAGAATTCAAATCAGTAAAATCATGAAATATGAAACTATGAATGTGTACAGTGTGTCGTACAATTCAAAGAAAAACAAATGTTTTACACTCGTCTTAACACGACCTTGATCAGACAGGGTTTGACAAGCTTTTGTTTCCACGTCAGTTGAAAAATTGAGGCGGTATATGGTGTACTATGTCTCCCCCCAGTGGCAATAGGAACAACCTACTGCAAAGTATGCAGTGTAGTAGAAGCCACTCATGCACTAATGTGTCTTCCAAACCCACGTTCGTATTTACACCTGTGTATAATGTGTTTGTCTGTGGACATTGATGTGTTTCATCAGTGATAGGAACTCGTCCAAAACGCAGGAAACCTTCTTATTCTCCAGTCTGTTTAGCTTCTCCATGATCCATCTGTCACCCAGTCAAGGCTACAGTCTGTGAACCACAGCCAGGTGAGGGTTGACCTGCAGCTCAGTGTGACATTTAAGGGAGGAAGGGCGCTACTCACCCAGGAAATCCCATTACCACAAACTCTGATGGATATGAGTACAACTAAAGCTCATATAACTAACCCTGGTCTGACATAGTTTTCTCTCATGTTGAAACTAGAAAATGTCAAATGACCCCATATCTATGTATTCACCTTTCTCAACAAATTGTTACATACATTATTAAATTAAATATGCAATATAAAGTCTATCAAAAGTTTGCTTCTATCCATTATTCAACAAATACAGCAGACACCAACTGTTAGAAGATAATATATTTGCCCCAGTAATTTTTTTAATTAATTTTTCATGATTTTACAAACCATAGTATTATTGTTTATGTGTATATATATTTGTTTGGAGCAACAACTAAATGATTTTAATTTAAACAATATTTATCTTAAGAAACAAATGATCTTACTGTAAACACATTTGTTTACAGTATGCCAATACGTTTGTTAAAAGCTTGATTAGTCTAAAGATAAAAATACCTTATGGGTATGTATCGTTGCTACAATAACAAGATCCTGCAGTGATTTTTTTCATATTCATAACCATATAATTTCCAACCCTTGTAATTAAGGCTCTGCTGAGATAAACAGAGACCTTTTCTTGCCATTTCAAATCAAAAATCATTTGCAGCAGAATGAGTCTCCAGTCCAAATAACTGGGAGGCAAATGTATGTTAATCTTTTAATTCAATCCAACTGATCTTTGACCACAGAAAGCATTTTCCTGCTAAATTGTAATCCCTAGCTGCTTCATCTCTCTAAACTAAGTATTCCATTTACATACATTACAGCCCCGGGTCCATACGGCACAGCCGAGTACGGCACAGGCATCAGTGTACAATCACTGCACCAAGAACATGTGTTTGATGGTCAGTGCGTTTAAAGACCCCATCTTGTAGCAATCAAACACTGGCCAGATGCAATTCAGAGGAGCACGGACGGAGAATTCTAAACAGAGCAGCCAGTGTAAAATTAACCAAAGGAGAGAGTCGGACTCTGACTCACACTGACCTTTAAATGCTTTAATTAAACGGACGCTTTTCTTCACCAGAAATTTGTGAAGCAGAAATCACATACAGCAGTGACATCACCTCCATGTGGTATAACCTTACTATTGGTCACAGAGGGGACAACATCACCAACTACTAGTAATATTACTACTACTTCCAATAAAAAATAATAAAGAATAATAATAATAATAACAATAACAATAATAATAAAACAGTTTTATAAGACATCTCATTTTTAACACTTAGACCTAATTGTATAAAACAACAACCAAAAAATAAATAAATATATACAAATATACAACGGTAACAAGACTGTGCTCAACCTGAAAAGTATGTGAATCCCTGTTCAGGTGAGAATTACCTCTGAGGTGTTAAAGTCGTCACCCAGGGCAGGGTGGGATGTTCAGAGAACAACAGAGACATAAGCTAAAGGTCACACTGACTGGGACACATTCAAACATGAAAATGTGAATTGACTTGACCACTCTGCAAAGGTCAAGTCAATGTTCTTTCACAAATGTATGGAGTTTTATTTTTTCTCTATGCTTGCGATCATCATCTGTTGACTCATAACCTCACACTGCATTGTCTTAGTCGGTGTAGTCCTCACACTGCATTGTCTTAGTCGGTGTTAAATCAGCTGCTCTTTTTTCGAGCTAGAGACAAATTATAGTTCAGAAGAATCCCATGGCAGGGAACCAAACAAAACTCTCACAAAAATATATGTCATGAATAGAAGAAAGACATTCAAAAAAACGTCATCAACAACTCTGGCCTCTCTCTGTATGGGTTTAATAACCATCTGCTGCCACCTACTGGGGGAGTATTACTTACATTGTCTTGTGGACAAGGACAGATGACACAGGAATTAAACCTACAACCTCAAAATCATAATTGGAATGAAGTAGGTAGGTCAGAACGACTTTAAACACATTATTATAGCAGGAAATTCATTGAAGTTTCAGATACAAGTCACAAACTTCACCTCTTCACACTCTGTGCAGTAGAGCTGGAAGAAGGCGAGGTGATGAGGGAGCCGTCAACGGTCCCCACATGTGAATAATTAATAATTAAATATTTGTTTAGCTTTTATTTCTACTGGGATGCTGCTCACAGCCCCCTGAGGCCGAGGCCTGAACTACTAATTTAGTTCAGTTCTGGAGAATTACAGTAATTAAGCTAAAGAAAAGGACAAATGAGCAGTTCCCTGCTGGAACCAGTCATTGTATACTTCACTTCACTTCACTAATCTTTGACATTGTCATTCAGACTGGAGAAGCACAGAGTCAGCCTCCCACTCACTCTGCTCTGGTTTGATTAACACGCTGATGATTGGTGGTGGAGCGTTCACATTCAGTGACTTGATTGCTCCGTCAATCTGTCCGTCTGTTTGACCTTGTCAGACCTGTTTGTAATCACTTTCACAGTACGGTCCTTATAATGTAGCCATGTCAGTCTCCATCATTTAATATCCAAGTTATGGCTGCTACAAACATAAGCTACAACAGTGACTGTCAGTCACAATCCAACATTGTTTTTTTTTTGGTTAATTGGTCTACTGCAAAAAGATTGAATTTAATAATAATTTAATAACTAATAATTGATTCATAATGAGTTGAATACTTCTGTAATGCCTTAAACGTTATGGGCCTCTCAGAGTTTAAGGAATGTAGCAGTCAACTGGATTCAGTTGCTCTTCAAAAATGTCAGAATGTCTTCACTCACATGTGCAATTCCTAATTCGACCTGCTGTGGTGTGATTTAAATCCAATGATTCACACAAGATTTTCAGAAACGTATGTATAAGGTCAGAAGTATCCGAGGTGTTTCATCCTGCGGTGTCCGTGGACCTCACCTCCTACAGAATACCTGCCTCGTCTTGTTCTAATCTTCTCAGCTCTCCGTGTGCTA